AAAACAGGATTTACCCCCCCCCCCCACCTCGGATAGTTATCGTAGAACGTTCACAATGTAGGGACGGACATACAATTGGACGAATTCAGAGGACAGCAGTAGTAATCAGAAACACGAGAGAAGAGATGTCTTATAGAAAATGTATTAAAAGAGGAGTATCATTAATGTAGTCATAAAGAAAACTGATAAAACTATAATTATGTTCGTAACAGGTGAGTGGACTGAGTAAATAGGCGTTTCCGAAACATTAAAACATATTAATCCAATATTCAATATTATTATAACATATTTCAATATTCTATATGTTTTTTTTAACACAGGCCTTTCTCTCTCCGGTCGTGAGAATCGAGATTATACTAGCGATTATATAAATACATGTATGTATATATAAAATTAAATGAAATGGGGTTTAAAGTCCTACTAATGACAGGGCTAATGAAGACAGAAATGTGTACACGGGACTTTGTTTTTTTTCCGAACGACTAAATTAAACAAGAAGAAGAATACAATGTACCTTTAAAAGTTTGTAATCGGCTTTCGCCCACCAATAATCTTTTATTTTGTGAAGAACCAACAACGTGTTTTTGTTTTGGTTTGGTTGTGTCTAATTGGATGTTTTCTCTCTTTTTTTTTTAAAAAAAACCCCTACAAATCCTGATCCACAGTTCACAGAACATTTCGTCCGGTTCCATTAGCTTGCACTATCTGTAAGACACCCGAAATAAAACCAACTTCTTATGTATGAACATAAGTAATTGAGGCAAAGGGAATAAGCTTACTTTTATAATCCGTGGTATTTCTAAATCTTATCGATTGTGGCATATTGAATTAGTTGAAATCTATGTGCATGCACATTCTTTGCCGTCTCTAAATACCTTATTACTTATTAATTATACAGATATATAGTAAGTAAGCTGGATGATCATATTTTCCACCACAAAATAAAAAATATATACACACAATAAAATCATTCGCACGAAGGTACAGTTGCCATTCTTTTCTTTGCCTGTCCATTTTATTCAATTATTAGAAACAAATTATTAAATTCGAAAAAAACTAGTTACCATAACAATTTGATAACATAATATATATTGATATTGTTTGATTTGTTTAACAAATAAATTTAGTCATTTGGTTGCATTTTATGTGTTGATTTTTTAAAAGATGCAAATGTGTATTTTCTTTTCAAAATTTGATGTCCCGAAATAAATCAAAAATTCTACGACCAAATGACCCTCCTCGATCACTTTACACCAATTACGTCGAATTTAAATATTAATTTATTATTATAATGGCTGAAAGACATAAGTGTTGTCTGTGATATCGCCGAACGTAAATTATCCGAGTGAACAACAAGTATTGCTACAGATTGTCCAAGTTTGAACTAAGCACTGAATGTTAGAATCATTGGAGGAAACGGAGTGAATCACTAAGAAATTAGTCTGTTGAAGCTGCAATCTGATTAAAACACAGATCCTATTTCGTTTCATTTTGTATAGTTCAAAATTTCATTTTACTTGTCTTTTACTTTACTAGGATCTGGTAGAGTTGTTATCATTGGCGTGTTCTGGATGATGTGAGGGATTCGACCACGAAACGGTCTGTTACGGCGAGCTTTTGGCGTGAGGTGCACGGAACTGTGAGTAATCAACTAGAAACATCAATGCTGATTGGTTAATCAAATGGCTGACGTCATAGGTCAAAAGCCGCTCGTTTGACCTCTGACGCGACCTACCAAAACAACTGGTCAGATCTTCTTGTAGTGTAGGCCATCGAAAGTATGAAAAACGAAACGAAATATAGATCTGTATTTTAATCAGATTGTTGAAGCTGATGAAGTGTATATATTCTGTGTTCAGTTAAAACATGCTTAATGACTCAAACTAGAAAATATGGCACCTTGTTCTGCAATCGTGACGTCTATATACATATTTTTACAAGACGTGAAATGAAATGAAATGAAATGAAATGGGGTTTTACGTCCTACTGTTCTGCTCCGAACTGGGCTAATGAAGACGGGCATACGCCATACAGTGTGCTATGAGGGAAATTTTGCCCGGACAGCGGCACTACGGCCTACTCTTATATCGAATTCCAACTGCCAAGGGATCTTTTACGTGCACGCCAATGTGTACACGGGACCTCGGTTTTTCGTCCCATCCGAACGACTAGACAGCTATCCTTGTCAGCCCCTCCGTCCTGCATCACTGACAAGGGAGAACCACGCCGGAAAATCTGGATGAACTTTCTCGGCCAATGCAGGGATCGAACACCCGACCTCCAGGTTAGCGAGCTAGCGTCTTACCCACTTAGCCACGTGATCCCCCTTTACAAGACGTAGAAGGGGGTATACGAGTTGTAGGGCGCATTTGAATTCGTGTGTGAACTAATGGACCCATGTTCTAGTGTAAAACTAGACTTAAAGATACATTGTGTAAGATTTAGATAAAAGGCTAAAAATTTCATTTAAACTACTTTATCCTGAGCAAAGTTATCAACTGTTTGTAGTTTTGACCAGATGTGTGCATTGATTTTCATTATCGTAAAACGGGTTGGTATATATTCGAGAGTCGCTTCTCCATTTTTAAATTAAATCATTAGATTTCCGAACCGTTCTGATCTAGTTAAAATATTGAACATCCGATGGCATTTAGAGTTGATTATAGTCATGTCATGTTAATAAATGTCTAATTAATAAATTTTAGGCCCAAAGAAAGACCTGCAATAGGCAAATTTATCTCTTGAATAAGGTATCATTAATAAAGAAGCCATCTTTCGCTTAATCTTTTGAAACGGAAATTAATTTAAAGAGGTTAAACATAAAGGTGTGCTTTGTTCCATTATATATACGACTTTTATGCATTTTGTGGGTATTGAAACAAGTGTCTTGTTTAAATATGACTTGAAAAAGCAATGTTGAATTTAATGTTGATGTATAAATATACGATAAACTAGGTTAGTCTATGAAAACACGGCATTTCAGAAAATAAAACATCTTTTTTTAAAATGTATATATTAATGAGTGTTAAAGGCAATGGACTCTGCACTAGAATATATCGGTTGAACTCAGTCACGGTTTGTCTAAGTTTGCATCATTTGAATATTGCAATTACCTTAATTAATCATAATTATCTTACCCTTTCGTTTTGCTTTATTTGAAAAAAGAAAAAAACCCAATAAAAACAAAATCGACGAATTTGTATTTATCTAATCGTCAAAATATTAATAAATGACACGATTAAAGAAATGCTGCTTATGTGATAATTCATACAAAGTTTGATATCAATTTACCACATTTTGGCTAACCTGGAGATCGGGTGTTCGATCCCTGCATTGGCCGAGAAAGTTCATCCAGATTTTCCGGCGTGGTTCCCCCTTGTCAGTGATGCAGGACGGGGGGCCTGACAAGGATAGCTGTCTAGTCCTCCGGATGAGACGAAAAACCGAGGTCCCGTGTATACATTGGAATGCACGTAAAAGATCCATTGGCAATTGGAATTCGATATAAGAGTAGGCGATAGTGCCGCTGCCCGGGCGTATGCCCGTCTTCATTAGCCCAGCATAGGAGCAGAACAGTAGGACGCTAAACTCCATTTAATTTCATTTAATTTTTACCACATTTTGATAGTTACACCAATTTATTTTTCATAAAGTTGACAGACAATCATTAAATGACCAAAGGCCCACCTGGTAGAAAGATCCACCTGGTACTATTAACCCCTGTGGGTGCACCCTGTGAGAATCACATAGCAGGTATCATGGGGTCCATATGCCAGTTATCATTCAATTTTTTTAAATACAGATATATTTGAATTAAAAGGCAGTGCGTTTTTTTTTTATTTGAAATCATATTTGACATCTGAAAAACAACTTATATATATAAATTGTTATAAACATTTTAGTGACATATGGAAAAGATTTAATAATTCTCACCAATTGCTACTATGTACTATGTGATAAAGAGGTTAAATGGCAATTCACGCTTGATACAAAAAAACACTGAATATTTGAAATTCATCATTTAATTTTTGGTATTTGTAACATGCAGATGCCAAAAGAGAGAATACTCTGACATACGCAATATAGTATCAAACAGCAAACACATTAGCAAAATCCCTACTGTGAGTTATAAGTTAGGGGTCCGGTTGGACCCCTTGTTCCCCTCAAGCGTTGGGCCTGATTTGCATGTAACATATACTCTGCATGTGGAGAGCAGAAGAAAATCGATTACTTCGCTACGTGTATTTCAGAAAGCAGTACCCAGTAGTTATTAGAAAACAATATAAAACACGTGCATGGGGTCCACGAAGACCCCCACGTACAACGACAAGGGTTAATACATATACAGATATAATATACTGTTGCAATAAAAAAAAATATACGAGTGACATTTGTAAATGGACTGTCCAAACAAGATTTGTTGCACTACAGTACTAAAATACGTACATTCACTTCACATAATTCAGGCCAATGGTCTGTTAGTATCCGTTATCCGAGAGCACCAATGATTTACAACCTGGGCCGGGTTTCTCGAAATCTTAACTAAAGATAACATCCAAATTTTAGTAGATACTTCAATTTTGATTGGCTAGGCACTAAAATCAATCTAATATTATCCAATCAAATTACTAAAATTTTATCTTAGTTAAAATTTCGTGAAACAGGCCCCAGCCAATTAAACGAAATTAAACAGGAGTAAGCGATAAAATAACAGTTTAAGAAAGCATTGTTATAAAATTTGCATTTCAATGACATTTAGCTCATTTTCACAGGTAAACTGTCCGTAAATTCATCTGGAAGTTGTCTGATACAACTTTTAGTCACTAATAAACTATTACCATATACATGCATTTTTTAAAGAATATCTGTCACATCCTCATCACTATTGAAGAACACTATTCACATTCTTGTGACTATTGAATAACACCACTCACATTCTCATAACTATTGTAGAACACCATTCCTATAACTATTTAAGAAAACCATTCTTATTCCCATAACTAATTAAGTACATCATTCACATCCATGAACGGAACCTTTTCCGGTAAAACATCAGAATATTCTATTAAAAGTTTTCTAGCCAGATCAATAGCATGAGATGCATTATTAGCAACTCGCGTATTTTTTAGACTCTTAGTCCAAGTATTATGATAATTACTAACTTTATTCCACTTGTTATTTAGAATCACGTGGGGAATATCCAATAAAGTACTTAAGATATGACCATGAAGACGATCGGTAATAACCACCCTCCCCCTCTGTAAGAATACCAGTCCATTATTTGCTATAAGATAAGCGTTTTCCATGTGTTTATGAGTATGAGGTGTTCTCCAACCTAACCAATCACCGATTCTTATTGTGATATCAGTCGGCAGTGTCGGAATGACATCCCCAACCCTTTCTCTATCTGTTCTTCGAATCCATAAAACATCAAAAAATGGTTTCATAAATCGTCGAACCGGACCAATTTGAAAAGCCATATCTGGTGCCAAGATAAGTTTTGGTTGTCCTGCAAAATGTTTTTCAGCAAGCTGTAAGGAGTGCCTATCTCTAAGGAGCATGGTTAAATTAGTTTGTTTTCTGTAAAGATCTTCACAAAATCTAAGGTGGTCATTTCCACCAGCCATGAAAATGCTTTGGGGAAAGAGCACGAATTTAAATCCCCGAAGTTTCGCGAATATAATTTTTCTTAATTTATCAGCCATTATCCATCCAACAAGATTCCCGCCACCATGTAAAAGAATTATCAGATTTTGTGGCGTGTATTGTTTAAGAACAGACGAGGCATTTAACAAGTGATTATTCTTACAAATATTGAAATCACAGTAATAAACTAAAGTTTTATTCATCCGTTTAATAAGTGTCATTTCACCAATGGTAATAGCCGGGTCCCCCTTATTTTCATGCAGAGCAATATCAAGAAGCATTACGTTCTTGTAAGGTTTAAGCAATTTAGAAAAAAGATCAAAATGTATTCTTTGAGTTTCCTCGATTATTTCTTCGCTTGTTTTTAAAAACGGCGAAAATTCATCATATGATTCAATATTTAATGGTTGTAGCCTTTTCGTCGGTTCCTCGGATTTCTGCATTACGGAGATTTGACCATTATCACTTCTATCCAACACAACATGGCCATCACTTGAAGTTGATTTTGTTACAAAACTTATGGAACCTAAAATCATCAGTGGTATCAGGATATACGCCATCTTCTTTACCCCATCTGTCAAAATATATACAAAGTGGATATAAATTGTTTGCATTTTTGTGCTGCAATCATCACGAATACATGATATAATGTGCTATGAATTATATACATATTCCGAATCACTGACGTGCCGAGGTTTGGTGATGATCGGTCCAACACCTTGACTGTCAGCCCCCTGAATCCAGTGTAGGGCCCAGTACTAAGAAATTTCAGACATAAGTTAAAATTAAAATATGTAAAATTTAATATAAATTAGCCATATTGATTTCCGGGGGCCATTGTCCCCATTTCATGTCAGAATTCAATGAGATATTTACCTTTCGTGGCAGTGAAAACACGCCCACTTGCTGTTTCATTCCTTAAGTATTTTCCGAGAACGTGGATTATAAGACCTATGAAGCACATCAACAAACCCAGCCAGTTAGCACCAGAAGCTCGCCGACTTCCTACAGCATATAGCAGTACAACAACCAACAGTCTCTTACAGATATTTAAAATAGAATGATTAAACACCGTCATAGTCTTTAGTACAATATTGGTACTAATATATGAATACATGACATGGAATATTCCTGACCCAAATACTAGAACCAACATTAAAGTTGTGCCTTTAGCAAAAGCTCCCCTTCCTTCGGTAATGTCTACTGTAATTAAGAAAGTAATCGTGAAGGCAACGAAGACAAGAATCGCTTTCGGTTTCCTTAAACTACTATTAGATTTCGTTTTGTGTTCTGTTGAAATGGCTATGTTTCTTGCTGCTAGAATAATATTAGACATGAAAGCTAAAAAAGTTCCAGAAGATATTTCAATGCCGCCCAACGGACTCCCGGTAAACAACAATGCTCCGTAAACAATAATTGGTAGACTAATCAGAGAAGATGGCGGTATCGAAATTTTCTGGAACAGACTTTGAGCAACAGCGGATGTGATTGGTTCTAGTAATTTAATTGTGAACGTTGAAGCAGCATTCATGAACGTCATACTATAATTGGTGCAAAATGTTGCCAAAATATGAGCAACAATCTTTACACAGGAGACCAGTTTTGAGGAATTCTCCACTCCAATCGTTGATTGTATATCCACCAAAACGATACATGTAAAACATTGTAACAAGGTTAATGTTGATGAGGCTATTAATGTGTCACCCTGTATAACCGCGTCCCATGTTTTTAGAAATCGTTTTGCTGTCCAATGACACAAGAACGATGTAAGCGTCCAGGATATGAAGGCAAACAATGAGTTGAACGAAGATGGCGTCATCTGAAATAAAAGAAAAAACATTAGATATTATATCATTAGTGGGCCAGATATTTGAAATAATTCATCACGTTTCTCGCGAACCGACGAATCTGGGGAGTTTAAGTTTTGAGAAAAACACGAGTGAAATTTGCATTCTGTTGTTATCACCGTGGCCGTCAAACAATACTATTTATTTGTGATTTAATATTTCATAACCGCGCATCAGCTAACATTACCAAACCAGTTTAGTTGTAACTGGGGTAACTTTGACTTTCATCAATCTAATTAAAATACAGATTTATATTTCATTTCGTTTTATTTTTTTTTATACTTTTGAAGGCCTACATTACATGAAGATCTGACAAGTTGTACTCGAAGGTCGTGTCAGGGGTCGTGCGAGCGGCTTTTGCTCTATGACGTCAGACATTGATTAATCAATCAGCATTGACGTTTCTAGTGGTTTACCCACAGTTCCGTGCATGGCACGCCAATAAGTCGCCGTAACAGAACGTTTCATTGGCTTATCCCCCACTTCAACCAAAACGCCGGTAATATAACAACTCTTCCAGATCCCAGTGTAGTAAAGACAAGTAAAACGAAATTTTGAACTATAAAAAACGAACAAAACGAAATAGGATCTGTGTTTTAATCAGACTGGACTTTCATAAGGGTCAAAGTTCATGATAGTCACAATCGTCATTTTGTTAGAAAAAAAGGAAAACGGAACGATTCAGATTCGCTCCAATTCGTCACTTTGTAAGATCAAAAAAGGTTGTACTATAATCATATATGTCATATATTCGTCGATTCGGCGCAGAATCTTTTATCCAGCATTTCTCATTTTGCCATGACATAAGAAGACAAACCCAATATTAAACTGTAACGTAAGGCACGTCATTTACTCACAAAAAAGTATGCAATCTTAACACCGAACATTAATGCACGCCTTCCTGTTATTCGTCCTATCCGAACGACTAGACGCAGTCCCCCCCCCCTTCCTGCACACAGCAGTCTTATACAATGTCGTCGGTAAAATAAGATAACCACAAGCATGGCATTTACTGGATATGATTTACTCAAAACATAGCATGCCTATAGTGTTGTATATATTAAAATCTACATCACATTTAAACTGTCAACAAATACTGAATACTGTAAACGTTTCGATCTTTGATTACATGTTAGCATTGGGAAAGTTGGATACATGAGTTTGAGATGGTAGAGTGTGTCCACATCGAAAATACATTAAAGTATTTGATAAATCAACCTAAATGTTGACCAATATTTCGAGGTTTAAAGGGGTTGGATATTTTTGATTTATGTTCTTAAGAAATAGTTTAGATATACAGTACCCAACCCTAGTCACCCCCGATCCCTTTCGTTTTTTTTGATTATTGGTTATTGGAGGCTAGTCCGGCGTCTGCTTCAAATTCAAAGGCTAACTGTCTTCTGGAAATCTTATGAGTGGATACAAATAGTTCTTTTTGATAATGAAAGATAATTCTAAATGTTCGAATTTTAGATCAACCAGACCACAAAATAGATTTCTAAATTTACCCTAAATTACCTTGAAGTGACATTCGCAATGAACAAAATAAACTTAAACACCAATAGGTAAAAGTAATTACATTTATCAAACTGTGTTTATTAAAATGCAATTTATTAGTATTCATGAGTTAATTATTCCGGCGATAACTTACAATCGCTTCCAATGCATTAATAAAACGCGCCCATTCGATTCACCTTTAAGCAATGAACTATTCTCTTTAGTTTAAGTTGTTGCAAATTTGGAAGAAAGGCATGCCACGTTATGCTATTTAGAAAATAACACGCCAACTTCATATTCGCCACCTAACTAACATAGACAAACTGAAAATTAAAAATCCGACGAAGTGGCGGATGCCGACATTCGTCATTTTGCAAGAACTCAATGGTGCATACATTTTGATATTCATCACTTGATCGTCTATGTACTAGAAAATCGAACAGCTCACCATAAATGCAGTTAGACAGAAAGTACTGAGCACTAAATGATACGTTTTGACGGTAAAAACTCAAAATTAAAAAATATGCAGAAACGTGAAGAATTGTGTTAAAAGCATAAAAGTTTACCCAAATAAAGATTTTGACTTCGTGAACATTATGTCTCCATTATTACATCATCAATATGGTAGACATGTCAATATTCAGTGATATTACCATAACGCTTATAAGAATTTATAATTGATACCGAGACATGCAACTTCGTGGAAATTGTCATTAAGTGCTGGTCACACGTACTGAGATAGATTGTACCCCGACGTCATACTGGAGTTATAATCCCATACTGAAATCTTATATAAGCAAAGAATCCCGGGATATTCGAATATTAGTTATTGCTATTAAAAGAAATTTTATTCAGCACCCAATAATGCGAAAACAAGTCAGGTAACCTCGAGGGATTATACGTAAAAACGTATATTAATAATCAGTCTTTATGAGTCTCAATGACTTACCTCGTCGAAATTTCTTTAACATAAAACTAAAACTATTCTAATACCGAGATATCTGTTAGAGAAAACAAACAACACGAACCCTACGATGTCGTTCTTAAATTAGATCTTGAGAAACTGGTACCTATTCTATTACAATTAGCTATATATTATGTGCTTCCTGTCACATCCTCAGCTGCGTCCAGGGGCAATTGTCCAAACCCATTTAAGTCATTCATGTACAAATAGTATTTTGATAGTTTAAATAATATTCAAATAATTCTTTTTTTTTGATAACACAATTGAAAATGCAAATCTGCATCCTTAACAACACGAAAAGGCCGTATCCCTAGCTACACTAAAAGAAGCAGCAAGATGACACAAACCGCATGCTACAACTATGAAGTCATGACGCCAATGCTTATTTTGTATGTTTCCATATCTTAATATTCTTATAGTGTATCTTTGTAGACAAGTTTATTATTAATTAGTTAAAGCATCAATTGATTAATGTCCGGATTAATATCCCACAAATATTTCATTAACTGTTTGAGTTTATACATAATGTAACGATATGGAATTAAGTTAATACACTTCCTTACTATGTTCATATCATCCGAAGAGTCCAGGGGAAGAACGATCTAAGTCACATTTTTGTCTTTTCGCATTAAAGGCAAAACAAACTTTTAGACGAGAATGCCTGACGCGAAAGAACAACGAATGGGTTTAATTACAGCTTCAAAATGATGTTTAATACGAATCATCGTTTCCAGTACAACAACTGACTTCCACTTTTCAGCCAAATTAAGGCTACGATGGACGTAATTGCCCCGGGGGGGGGGGGGCATTTCAGAAGGGCCTTGATTCGATGTGACTCCGATCGTTTTTACCCGAAATTGATTGTTCCACAGAAAGCTTATACAATTTGCTACCAGATGGCGCCATTAACTGGGGTTCTTCCCGGGGCTCTTCATCTGTATTTCAACCATGTCCTCCCATTTGTCATACAGGTTAAACCAACATAAGGTTCCTTTGTATAATTTATCATTTCTTTAAATCAAATAGTATATAATTATTTAACGCTTGGCTTATCCCTATCTGTATCTTTAGTATGGTGACTGACTCGTCTTGCGATACTATCATTATTATGACCGTTAGCCAGTTTTAGAAACTCGTTTATTAAATGTAGTCTGGAGGCTCAGTGCGGAGCGGTGTCCATCAACTGGGCACTAAACCAGACTCAACTCATCTCTGGTAAAATTCCGCGTAGAATACGATGCCGGGTGGTAATCAGTCCGCAGTTCGGGCGTTTTCGAGATATTCGGGGTCAAAGGTCAAATGAGTTCATTTGCACTGAAATTAATCAGTAAACTATGTAGTTTGCGTAAGTTTCAGTTTCCCCCAAAATAGATGTCAAAATTGCTGTTTTAACAAACATAAACCATGACCTTTTTTGAATAGTCCAATGTATAATAATCTTTTAGAGGCATTTAGTAACTAGATAAAGTAAACTATAACACAGACGTTTGGAAAACAGGGCCCTGTTTTTCGAAATCTTAACTAAAGTTAAAATCCAAATTTTAGTAGATACTTCAATTTTGATTGGCTAAGCACTAAAATCAATCTAGTATTATCCAATCAAATTACTAAAATTTGGATTTTATTTTAGTTAAAATTTCGTGAAACAGGCCCCAGCTACTTAGTTACGTTTCGAACCGGGCTATCATGCGCAAAATATAGAAAAAGACAATTCCTTTCATACCAGCATTAATTATATATCTATTATAAATTCGGTTTTAGCACGATGTGATTTGTTGGTACTAAAGTGACGTTAACATTCTGTATTTTGTATTATTCATTTGGAAGGAAATTAACAAAGTCGATGAG